CACCATGCAACGCATGGTGTCAAACACTAGTAGTTTATAATAATGCTATCTTTGGCAAACTAGTTGATAAGCTAACTGGTGACTGATAAGCTAGCTGTTACCTTAAAATAGCTGGTAGCTGATAAGTCTAGCTGGTGAATAAATCATGTTTGACAAAACTAGTTGATAAGAATGTAAAAATAACCAAAAAATATATCTTGAAAAAAATAATAATTATAATATTTTAAAATATAATTGAAACAAATTTATAATAATATGATAAATATAAACAAGATGGTAAAAAAACTAAAAAATACAACATATTGATTAAAAGAATTTTAAATCGATTATTATATATATTATAATATTTGAATTTGTTAAAACAAATTTTAGAAAAAATCTATTATTGATTTTTAAATAATTATTGTATATAATATGAATAAGAATAAAAATGGTATGACTCCCATGTCCTACTTAATTAATACTTTTCAAACAATATATTTAATAATTGATTAAATATGGGAGACTTGGTCAGCAACCTAGGTCCCGCCAAAAGTCATCCATTCTTTGATTTACCATCATATGTATATCATATATGATGGACTATAGTATCCTGCGATTGACTATCGTCATAGAGTGTTCTCGGATTTTTGTAAAATGAAAGGTGTTCTCATTTAAAGTCTTCCATATACATGTATAATGAGACTTGATGGTCTGCAAATACTTGGTCCGCAGCCTAGGTCTGACCATAGGTCAACGCCTTTTGCTTTAATGTCGCATGTGTAGAACATCTGATGGACTACAATATCATATGTGATAGTATCATATGTGATATGAGTATTTCAAGTTTTCATAAAACGGTAATATTCTTGTTTGAACTCATCCATATTATATATATGTGTGTGTGTGTCGTGTACACACCACAATTTGAACAAAACATGTAGAATCGTAGTAGAGTTTTTATATTTGATATTTTATTTGTATAATGTACCTGAAATCCTTTTGAAATTGTCTTAAAATGTCATTTGGTGAACCTTTTGTTTAGTGGAAATGTTTGGTAAAAAGCCCCGCGAGAAAAACCAAGAAAACAAGCGAAATTGGGAGAAAAACCATCCCACACGACCTACCCTGCGACCTCAAGTCACGTGGGCAGTTGCATTACCCACTATATTGTCAGGCTGTCAGGACGCGGGCGACCTGTGACACTACCTCAAATCGCATACCAGTCCACGTGGAAGACTGGTTCTGCACATATAGGGCCGAAAATGGGGATTTTCTCTCATTTGATCTCACCAAACTCATTTCTTCTCCAAGTTTCTTTCTTCTGCCTTCATTAAAGTCGATCAAGAAAGTCTTTAAGGCACTTCTCCAACCATTTCAAAGGGTTTAATCATCATTAAAGCTAGGAATTCAAGGCTCAGACCCAAAATTCAAGCCTCTCATCTCCATTCCAATTGTTTTCTTGATTTTCTAGGGTTTTATTAAGATCTAGCATTGTGAGTGTATCCTACACTTTATAGGACTATATACATGTCAAAATGGTCTATTTTAGTTCTTCAAAGCTTTCATTTCAAGTATTTCACATTCGGTTAATTTTGGACCAACTAGATCAAATTCTGGGATTTTGGGGGCTGTCTCTTGATAAAAATAAGTGTGAGGAATGATTTTATGTACATAGAAGATGATTATTTCAAGATTTTGATGAGTTTTGGAACCCAAATTTATAATTGTCATATCTTTGATTTTATTGATAAAATGAGGATTATACTCACTGGTTGGGTTCCGGTAAAAAAGGATCTTATAGTGAGAAGCGTTAGAAGAGATATCAACGTTGGATGAATTCTAATTGAATGTCAACACTAATGAGGTGCATCTCAGATCAATTTCCTTCTAAAACGTAATTCATGGGTGAACATGAGATTAAAAGTGATCAAGAGTTTAGATCTCTTCTTACGCTTCTCACCATAACTTTTCTTCTCATACGATCCTTCGCCTTCATCCACTTGATGGTTATTTATACATAAATGTTTATGTGTTGGATATAGTTTGACATATCTAGAAGATTGTATATTTTAAATTAGAATGCAATGGATCCATAGACATAAAAGTCGGTTTTATTTGATGTGTACGAGATGATATTCCTTATTTGTAACTTGAAATAGGAATTGGGTCTACTTAGGTAATATGGTGTGGACTTTTGGAGTCGAACATCGACCATTGACCAATATAATGTAATTTCTAACTGAACAAACTTAACTTGGATTTTGGAGATCTAAAGATATAGACCTAGTGTTGTTGAATTTGGTGACTGCACAAGCAATAGACTTAGAGTAGTTGAGCATGTTAACTCATTAAATTATACCCGGAGCAGTTTATCTTAATGAATGTTAATCCAAAATGTTGGCTTACTTTTGTGTTTTTTTTCACTGTCACTGTCACTGCCAATGGTAAATCGGGTCTCCCCATCATCGTAAGATATATTGTACCCTTCCAAGAGTGAACCCCATTTAAATGGATGAATCGACTTAATTAAAGCTACGTTTTCAGTTTTAATGTTTTATAGCTTTACTCTATAGTTGTTTGACCTCACTAGACGTTAAGTCTAACATTTCTTTCTTAAATGTCATGTATATTAGGGTCTCAAAGTAGTGGGACCACTAATGCTTGAGTGAGTGATGATTGTCAGTCGAGGCAATTTTTGGGTCATCGTCTTTTGGAGCACATTTGGAGTTATTTATGATAAATTCTTTTGGTGATTGTAGTGACGCCGTATTGTAATCTAAATCTAGAATTGGTTTAGATTAGTAGGTAAACTCTCACACTATTCCCCTTCGTTGGGTGATTTTATTTGATTAAGCGCTTTATCCCGTCTTATTTCTACGATTTAAATCGTTTCATATTTTAGGGGTGTTACAGACCATAGGTTACCGTCTCTTGCTCTAATATTGCCTGTGTATCACATTAATGGACTACGGTATCACATGTTATATGAGTGTTTCACATTTTCGTAAAATAGTAGTATTCTTGTGTGATCAAGTCATCGATTATATATATACATATATATACACTATATTATAAAGTATTTGACAAAAACTATTAAAAACCATTTTCTATGCATGAAGTATTGTATATTGATTCATATTACTTAAAATTCAATATTACAAGTAAATTATGCATACGTACAGCTTACTAAAGCTCCATGTTTAAATTTGTGTAACTAACTATGAATAAACATAATCAAATAGAAGATAAACATTTTATTTTAAAATATAGAAAATCTACAATATAATTAGGATAATTATCAAGTTCTAACAAAATAATTAATTATTATCTTTATAAGAAAATTATATTAGTAAACCAAATATATACTACTTTGCTATTGAACCTAAATTAAATTATAATAAAAATTGAATTAAAAAATTACATAAAAATAGGAATTTTAAATAGTTAATTTGATATTAATATCGATATATTTTTGTCAAATTTTTATTATATCTTCAAATTTATATTTTATTCAAAAATAAAAACATCATCGTCTTTTAAAAATCACATAAGTCTATGATATAATATTGGCTGAGATAAAAAATAAAATGAGATACTAAAATCAAGATGTATCTCGCTGCATTGTGCAAGTATCCTTCTAGTATATATATATATATATATATGTATATATATATACAATATATATATATATATATGTATATATATGTATGTATATGTATACGTGTGTGTTTCGTGCACACACTACAATTTGAACAACATACGTAGAGAATCGTAGTAGACTTCTTATATTTGATATTTTATTTGTAATAATTGTAGAAGGAATATTTTGGTTGGTGGAAAATATATGAAGATATTTAAGAATATTTTTGATATTTTTTTAGTAAATGTTATGTGTTTATCCAACCTTTTAAAATATCTCTAATTTTTCATAAAAACATAAATTATTTAAAAAAGAAATGCTACATGTAATAATAAAATTTGGAATTATTTCTTAGGAAAACTTTATTATGCTTAAAAACAATCAAAATTGTTATTATATTTGTATCTATTTTCCTTATTTTTATAGGTTTGACCTTCCTTTTGCATATATTACATATTTATGTCCACATTGATGTCATGTTAATATTCTATTAATCAAATAGATTCCAATTCAATGAAAAATGCAAGATTGATATTTTTATATTAACATGGACATCCAACCCATTATGCAAGCCGACTAATCCTAGAACGATCATTTGCTTTGCAGATAGCCCGGAGTCACCGCATTTGAACCTCCGTGGTCACAAAGGGATTTTTATTTCTTCTTGTATTTGAACCTGGGACCTTCAGACACTTTTGACCTTTGGAGACCAAACTCAAACCAATCAGGCACCACCCTTGTAATGGTTAATATTAAAAATGGTGGACCCCTTAAATACTAAAAAATTTAACTCTAACTATACATTAAAAATATATTTTAATAACAAATAAATAAATATATGTATTATTATACAATTATTATTAAAACTCAATAATTATAATTTGTAATATTTCTATAATTAATAAATACTATTACTTGATCATTAACATTGTTCATTTAATAATGTAAATTTGAAGATTTTTTTGATTGATAAGGATTACATTAAGTAGCTAATATTACGTATTTTTAAATTTTTGGTAATGATATTTAATTTTGTTAAATATGTTTTATATATGTATCTTTAAACTTCATTGATCAGAATTGCTACAAAAAATTTCAACTTTTTTTTAATGTTGGTCTTTAGTTTAATAAATAAATTTTGTTATAAAGAGTGTTAATCATGGATATTATCATATTTCTTATTTTAATTTTAGAGAAATACATGAACAGTTTCATTAAAATTTCATTAAGTATTATATGAAACAATTTCATAACCATATATAAAACAACTTCATCATAAGAATATTATATGAAACAATTTCATAAGATTAAACAATGAAATCGACGAATGAGAGTAATATACACGGTTTGTACAAATTGGACGATTTACATTTGATCGCTCATCTCTCTCTATATATAACACACATAATAAGCTTGATGATTGATTCTAGATCTAAACATATACATAGCATTCTATGTCCTTTATCTTATTAGAATTCTTATTGTACGAGCTCGAAAAGAAAAGTTTGAACAACACGTCTACAAAATCTAACGAACCAAAGTAATTATGTCTAATGTATATATGAAACAACAATAACTGATATTAAAATTCATCTCCGTCATCGTATTACGTCTTATTAACATTTAAATTTAAAGTCTAAGTTTGCATACTCTTTTTAGCATTGATCGATCTTCTTAAATAGGAGTTTCATCCATTCCGTTCTTCAGCTTTCTGTGTATCAAAAAACCAACAAGATCTAATGAGAATTTTGATTTAAACGATCTTGGAAAGAGAAAACTAGAATAATCGTAAAAAATTAAAAATGCAAAAATATATACATATACATAGGGGAAAGTTAGAATATGACAAATGTTTTGAGAACATACGAATAAAACCTGAAAAAATTCATTTAAAGATGCATATGTGAAACCACGAACAATTCACGTGTGAATTACTTATTCATATGTTCTCAACTTATTTGCTTTTTCTTATTCGAACCACCAACCTACCATGTATGTGTGTGTGCGTGATTGTATGTGTATGAGATTCAAAAAACATTACCGAATGATCTTTTACAATGAACGACCGCCTCAAGAATTGATCTTTCATCATAGTCACACGATTCATTTTTCGAACATGAAAAATGAGGTCCATATGTTGAATTAGGACTCCAACTCTTTGTTCTCCCTAATGTGGTCGTGTAGACGTCGCTTCTCTCACTCATTTGCTCATGTGTAAGCACAGAAGATGACAAACGAACCAAATTCATCGAGCTATCCACGATTCTTATACTTTTTCGTGGTATAAGAAAGCTAAAACACTTTCTAAGCACCCTTTTGGAAGAAACTCGCCAATTCGCGAGAAGTTGACTATAACTCCTCTTATATTTTGAAGGGCTCTTTGATAGAAAATGAACCACAGGTGTAGCAGGGGATGAATGAAGCCTTGCCTCGTTGATGGATTTAGGAATCATACGCCCATTGAAGAAAATTTCATCGGCATGGACAAGATTCGGGGTGCAAATTGGAAGATCAAAACGGAAGTTATGGGATTCTTTGTGGAATCCTTGTGAATTCACAAAAGAATTTACGTTTTCTTCTTTATAGCAGTCGGTGTAATCTTCGTTGTTGTCGAATATGGCGTCGAGGGACGGTTTCCGATTGATTAACCAACTGTAGGAGAAGCTTTCAATGGTGAGAGGTTGGGAGGTTTCCATGGCTGGCTTGCAAAAAACGTAATTGAGCTTTTGACAAATGATCATGAAATAAGATTCATATAGTGCAAATTGTGAGGGGCCTACGTTTTTTATTTATATTTTAAAACATAAATAAAGTTTTTATTTTATTTTTTCCAAAAATATTTTTTGAGCAAATTACATAAAAAAAACAATGAAAATAAGTATATAATAAAATAATAAATAATAATTATTATTATTTTATAAGTGCAGAACTAATATTTATTACAATTATATATATATATATATATATATATATATGTAATCATAGAAACAACTTGGATTTTTGGTGTCTTTTTGCCATACCCATGAACCAAAGTTGACAAAATTATGTATTAACAATACAAAGTTTTGTTTGACTTTTATCATTAGATCATCATAATATCTTAGTTGTAAAAATTTAATGTATAATTCATACAAATATTGGATTATGAATAAGATATTTATTAATAAAAATGAAAATAAATAAATAAATTGTGAAGACTAAAATTTGTTGATTTAAATATATCTCCTTGTTTTAAAATTAAAAAGAAAATAAAATAAAAATAAAATGATAATTTTTTTTCAAAATTTCAATCAAGAAACATAGTTGAAATCTCTATTTTCACCTTTCCTTTTCATCTCCAACCCTTAATGCAACCAAAAGACGTAATATTTTCTAAATAAAGATAATAATTATCTAATAAAAAATACTCATCAATTAATAATAATAATAATAATAATAATAATAATATAAGAGAATTGATGGGTTATATCATACAATGAAATCATTAATCACATAAGGCCGTTTACCTAAACACTTACCCGGTAAGTACTTATCGGGTAAAATTCAACACTATTACTTACTTACAAGATAAGATTTTATTCACTAAAATGCATTGTATGCAACAATCTATCCTGGTAAGCACTAACCATGATAAGAGTTCTCATCATCACTTACAGGGTAAGACTCTTGATTTTTGTCGTCGCTGTTACCGGTAAGATTTTTAGTCCCTACCCATATTAATCCGATAAAGTAAAGTGACTTGCTAAGTGCTTACCTGGATAAGTGTTTGGTAAACGGCACCACAAATACTAAAATTATTAGGTTTTTTAGTTTTAGTTTTCTTTCACACTTTTTAATTCAGATTTTTCAAATCTTTAATGTGTCAAATAACAAAAGCTAGAGAAAGATTTTTTCTTTAATTTTGAAAGAGGAATTTGTTATTTTCTGTGTAATTTTTTAATCAAATTATGATAAATAAATGGGAAATCAATCAAAATAGACATTTCAGGCTTACGTTTCACTTCTTAGCCATTTTTCTCTATGATCCACCAAAATGTCACTACCTCGACCAGTGGCAGGTCTTGGATTTGCGGAGGTAGCTAAAAGACAAAAAAAAATCATTTTATGCCCAAGTCCGCAAGTGGCACCTCCGTAATTATGGACTTGATCCGTGACTTCAAAAAAATTTGGATTCTACCCAGGTCCGCAAGTGGCATCTCCGCAACTTGCAGACGTGCCACTTGTCGGCCAAGGGAGAAACCCTAATTTGGAATAATTTGACCAGGTTTGACCTCCACGTTTTTTGAAAAAAAAAACTCATTTTTCAATAAAAGCCTAAAAATTTATTCCACATTGTACAATAACTGTACAATTTTGTAACACCCCGACATTTTTTTATATTATCTAGCCATAAACTATACAAACGACTCGAGTACACAACGAGGCTTATGGATCGGTCTAGTACATATAACGAGGCTTATGGATCAGTCTAGTACATATAAACTCAATGTCATCAAAATACGTTCATTAATATTTTGATTGATTTCCCATTTACAACCATATTGATCTCAAACCACTCCAACTAATTTTAAGGTTAATGTTTGTAATATAATAACGATAAAATACAAACATGTATGAATCACTTTGTTGTCATCAAAACAATACATCTATGCTCCTCTTTGTCGAGTCAAATCCCTGAGACATATGCACATACTTTTTAAGCCGAAGTCGAGTGAGTAACGGAATTCTTACGAAACATCCTATAATTTTCATGCTATAATCATATATGAATTTATATACCTTTCAATGTCATATATATAACTTTGCATGCATGCTCATCACCACTAAGGTTTCATATATAATGCTCATGATCATAAGACTTCACCACTAAGGTTATTGAGGTTTACAAGCTCATATACTCACAAAGTCACAACGGTCTTGAGGTTTACGAGCTCATATACAATTTGGTCACCAACAATGCATTCCTTATGACCTGGGTTTCGAAAATGACTTCGGATTCACATTCGGTTTACAAAGTATGCATTAATTGCCATCACAAAATTTCTACTTTAAAACATCTCTCATAATGTTCTAATGGAGTTAAAAAGAAAGTCTGATTGGTTTGAACTTGACTCCAAAGGTCAAAAGTATCAGGAGGTCTCACGTTCAAATCCAAGTAGGAATAAAAATCATCTTGTGGCCACGGAGGTTCAATTGCGATGACTCTAGACTATCTGCAAAACAGATGATCATTCTAAGATTAGTCGGCTCAAATAACAGGTTGGATATCCACATTAATAAAAAAAAAGCATAAAAATTAAAGGGATAATTAGAGATGAAAGTGGTAGGGGTATTTTAGGGAAATGAGAGGGATGTAGGCACCTTTCATCTAGATTGACACATGTTCAGACTTGGATCTCCAATCCATCATCAACAATTCCAATCACAATTTGACAATTCTTGGCTCCACCAATCATCTCTTACCAAAAATATTATCATTTTCTAATAAATTTTTCGAGCTCCGGTTCCTTTAAACCTGACATCTTTTTGTATAAGATGTATTTTCCAAATCTGATTCCACCAAATTGTACGTCACATTTACATTTGTATCTTTGATTTGATATATCATAAGATTTTGATGTATATCAATTTTATCGCATTTCCACTGCTACTGATTTTCTTCTGGTACTTCTCATTAAAATACCCTTTTTTTTTTTTTTTTTCGGATGGCCTCCAAAATCAGACAGTTACAATTTTTCAATACATTGATTGATGGTTAGTTGGATGAGTTTAATTCATTTTAATTTATAAATGATAAATGATGGAACGCTGAAGATATACAAAAAAAACTATATCGACTTATTTTCTTTGTTCATCATATATATTTATTTCTTCAATTTTCTTTCGAAATGAGTTCTGATCCCGAAAAAATTAAGTTACATATTCATGCCGGTGGTGAATGATTGAAAGCAAACGACGAGTAGGAGTATGTTTCTTATGCTGAAACGATGTATCATATTGTATAATTGCGTGCAAACATTACACATGAATAGTTGACAATGACGATGTTTGTAGTTTCATGCAATTCGCTACTGAGTCAAATAGCCCGCTTACACTATATGTGTATGTCGATCTTTTGATGTGCAATGAAGGCAATGTCGGTGCTAGTTCCAACACTGTAAACAATGTCGTAGGTAGTTTTGATCCAGGAATGTATGACTACCCCCCAAACCTAACATCAATATCAAACTCAAGGAATGTATGTTCCTCAACCCGAGTCTTACTCTCAATATGAGCGTTCTTATAACCTCGATTTTTTTCCAAAGCATACATGTGATCTTACTGACTATAGCCCCGAGTATGTTCTAGAGATACAATAGGAGAAACATCAAGTAGTAGAAGAAGTTGGAGTTGATGATGATGAGTCTCATTTTTTTTCTTCACATTAGGCCTATCTGATATTGATTTCTTGGAAACGGATGAAGACGAAGAAAACGTAGATAAAGAAGTAGGAACTCCTTATGTTAAATCATTTGGTGGGATAAATGATTTTTTTGATATGCCTCTTCCCTTTCAACCCAGAGCCCTCTATCATGCGCAACCGACCCATATCTTATAATCGTAGTGGAAGAATAAGTGTGGATCAGTTATTCACAACCAAAGAAAATATGGTAATAGACCTCGAAATGAAGTTTCTTTAAGAAAGTTTTGAGTTTAAAGTAAATAGAAAAAACCCAGATACAAGGTTGTATGTGTGCTATAGAACTGTGGTTGGTGTATCATGGTGAGTTGTGCAGAAAAAAGAAAGATGTTTCATGTACGAAATTTGGAGGATGTACACACTTATACAAAGATCCAAACGCATCCTAGCCACCTTCAAGCAAACAAAAAGGTATTGGGTCATATACTGAAAGGTAAACTTCTAGATACTAGCAGGGTACTTCGGCCACATGACATTGTGCACGATATAAATGTACAATACAAAATTACTATTGGGTACCCACAAGCTTGGCGTGTGAAATGTAATGTACTAAACATGATGAGGGGAAGATTGAATAATTGTTTACCCGATTCCCTACGTTTTTTCTATAACATGGAGCCCCGTTCACTTGGTTGCATGGTACGTATATCTATGTTCTATGTTCATATACTATAAATTATAACCTTTACATATGTAAACCACCTAATTTATCAAATTCGCTCGTTTTTGGCAAACTCGTGTCGTGTCCTTATAATAGACGATGCTCATTTGAAGGGGTGTTTTTTGGATACAATGCTCTTGTTGGTTATCATGGACGTAAATAACAACATTGTGCCCATTGTTTTCAGAGTTGGCAGGTCTAAGATTGGGGAGGTGCAACCTTGGTTTTTGTCCATGTTGAAGCAATGTATTGGAGATTGGAAGGTTTGATCTTCATGTCTGATAGGGTTGCTTCTATAAACCAATAAATTACTACTGTGTCTCCAAGGGTCCATCATGCTCTTTGTTGCCGTCATATGGAGATGAACGTAAAGACTAGGGACAAAAAGATTAAATTTTATAAATAATTTTTTTTTTGGAAGGCATGTAAAGCGTATAGAGTTCGATCAGCTGATGGAAAATCTACTTCTCAATGTACCTATAAGTACAAGGACCAAATTGCAATTATTATAAGTACAAGGACTAAAACCAAAATTATTATAAGTATAGGGACCAAAAATGTAATTACCCTAACTA